CTCTGTTCCACAGGGCTATTTAAGTCGGGAAAAAAAGATGATTGGCTAAACTTTTTTGGGGTCTTCCTGAATCTACTGAAATTCTACTTAATGGAGGATCTGTTGAATTTATTCAACGTATCGATGATGTTAATTTAGGTCGTAATTTTGTTATTAAAACTGAAAAAGTTATGAATTTTTTCAGAAAGGTTGGGCAGTAAGGCTTGTTCAAGGAAAAACGTATGGAAAAAAGTATATTCATCGTTATATAGATGATGTGAAGTAAATGTATGATGATAGAAATGTAAGTGAACAAAAAAAAAGGGTCTTGGTCACATGCTTGAGAAGTTGAAAATGAAATTACCCTCTGCGTTGGATCTACCATCTGAGAGCGAGATTCGTTCGGCAATTGGCGCCTTCATTGCGAAAGAAAAACGAGCAGCAAATGGCCAACTTTCAACTTGTATACGTTTTCTAGATGTGCTTTCAAATATCATCATTGATATTCTTAATGCAGTTGAAAGCATTGTACCAAAGGCATGCTATGTAGTGGCCCTGGAAAGATATGAGATGATAAAGGAGGCAAACCCCATCGAATAGATCCCTGATGAGAAGAAAATAAAAAGCAAGATCTGCCAAATCAAACAGAAAAAGAAGAAGGAAAAGCAAGCAGCTGAAGGAGGAGCTCAAGGAGGTATTTCATTATGAATTTTGTACTTGTTCGAAGGTCAACATAAGTATTCGTCCAAAAAATAACAAAATCGTAAAAGAATTGCCATTTATTCACATGAAAGAAAGAAAGACAAAGCAAAAGAACAAGAAAATAAAGAGAAAAACGGACTGGAAAATGGTGCACTTTTCCGGAAAATGTAGCTGAAACTGCATTTTTCAAACGATCATAAAATCGATAAACGATCAGTATTTATACTGTTACGTCTCTGTGTTCGTTTGTTAATTTATTTCGGATAAAACTTTAACAATACAAGTCTTTCTTAAATAAAACTATTTTATTCTTTCTCAATACAACTTTGCAATACACTTAATTTCCACAGTCACTTTAACTTAAACACACGCTATAATTCACAACGATTCACGCATTTTACTTATGGTCACTACCGCGCTTGACTTAATTGTTTCTATCTCTGCCTGTCTGCAATTATCTATGCCGTCACTTCTTGCCGCTCTTATATATACAAAATAGAGGGCGTCTGGCAAACACTCGAACCTTCAGGAACCTTCTAGATGCTCATTACGTGTTACCAGTGTCACGTGACTTCCGCTGTCGTAACAATACCTAAAAAATAAAAACACCCTTGAAAACATTTTTCGCTGTTCAATTTTAGTATTAAATGCCCTATTTCAGGTTCAAATTCCACCGAAATCGGTAATATATCAGGACATTTTGACACCCCGAGGGATGTATTACGTGTTAAATGTAAGATTTCAATATGTTTAATACATTTGTTTCTATATTTTATATTGTTACGACAGCGGAAGTCACGTGACGCTAGTAACACGTCTTGAGATTCTAGAAGGAGCACGTCTGTTTCTGGCAACTCTAGTCTTCTCTACGCGCCCTGTATTTGTGTATATATAAGCCGGCAAATGAAATGACGGCATAGATAATTGCAGACAGGCAGAGATAGAGATAGACAATTGAGTCAATCGCGGTAGTGACCATAAGTAAAATGCGTGAAACGTTGTGATCTATAGCGTGTGGTTAAATTAAAGTGACTGTGGAAATTAAGTGTATTGCAAAGTTGTATTGAGATAGAATAAACTAGTTTTATTTAAGAAAGGACTTGTATCGCTAAAGTTACATCCGAAAGAAATTATACGGGAAATTAACAAACGACCAGAGACTTAACAATATGTTTTCAACTTAAATTAATAAATGACAGGCAGTTAAATTTAATATTTATTAATTTTGGATTTTGTGTTGTTGCATTAACTAATATTAGTTAGTCTGGAGTTTCTGAGACCAAGTGAAAATGATTCTACAGAGAATATAGATTGTTGCTGACCAGTGGGTATAAACTCCACCACTAGTCAATGTCATCCACGACATAAAGGAGATTGGAGGTGCCTTTGGTGGATGAAATCTACAGTTTGAAGCTGTCTCCTCTTTAGGAGAGATAGCAAATACCTAATCGAGGAAATAATGACCCATGCAGTAAATGAGAGCTTCTGTAGGTAGTGATACCACGAATTAAGTTTGTATGAAACTAGCTCATGAATTCACTCTGACAACGCATCATTCTGTCAATCGACAGCATGGATCATAAATTTGTGGGCACCAAAACCCTCTGGTGTCCATAATATCATGAGTGTCTGAACTGTATGATGGCTGAGATGCCAATGGAGATGTTATGTTTCGTTAGCTGCAGGTGTCTGTTGGCAGAATGAAACAAGGCCCAAACATTTAAGAGTACTACAGAGGAATACATGGACTGCTTCCTTAAACAGTTCAGGCATGTAACTACCTGCATTGATGAACTTGAGGACAGGCAATGACATGCTGGGTGTTGAGTGTGAGCAAACCAACATTTTACTCAGTCGAATATTTGATTGAGGTACAGCTTAGTGATTGCAATACAGTATTCCCTCGCTATTCGCGGGGGTTACGTTCTTTG